TTCAAGGAGGCGTCTAAATCGAGGGACGCTAACATGCTGGGATGAATGTCCCTGAGCAGATGCTGAGCTTGGGGGAAGGAGGGTGCCCTGGGGCCCACGTCCACACTGCTAGTGCTGTGGGGATGCAGGGATCTGTGGGCAGTCCATCAGGTAAAACCTGAGCTCTCCAGAAGACTGAGGAGGCAGGCTTTTTTCAAAACGTGATTTCTCAACTACTTTCTGTAGTGATTTCTGTTGGTTCAAGTGACAGCTGGTTTTCATTTAAATCAGCTATTTTCACAAAATCAGGGAAAAGCATACCTTACCCTGCAATATCTTACTCCATAATGTTGCATCCTTGATAACTGGGAAGAATTTGTGTCCATGTAATTTCTAGGAGAGCAACAGGAAAGACGTTGGCACAAATATTAATTCTAATGCTTAACATCCTTGGTTTCCTTGGATTCCAGCAGATCAATGAAGCACCTTTACTCAGGCTCTAATTGTCTCCTGGACTGGTCTTGAGGAGACTTCTGTCCCCAAGTCCCAGGTCTGACGCCTGACCTCCTCGGCACTCCAGGACGGGGGTCAGAGTCCTGCTAATTGCTGGTGAGAACCTGGCCTCTGACACCTGCCCTCTAGTGTCCGTCCTGTTACTGACATTGCTTGGTGCCTGGAGTGAGGCACCCAACCTCCCTGTATTTTATTTACAAGTTTTTAAATGTTGAACTGATAATAGCATATTGCAGAACAAGCTAATTTCAGCATATGTTTGTAGATGATCTTCAGTAAAGATGACATTCTAGACCAGCTTCCCTGCTATTCAGGACATTTCTAGACCACTTTCCCCAAACGCTTAACCAGAAGCATTCAAGAATTACAAACAAACGTTGCCATCAGCCTTGATAAAATGATACTAAGTTATACTTCCTCAAAAATATCCACCATTTTCTCTTACCCATGATTTGGAGTGAGCAAATCGTTGCTTTTCTTCCATGGATTTTTATGTTAAACTTTACTTAACTGTGAATTAACCTCAGAGAGAGAATAACTTTACAACGAGATCTACAGTAAGAGAGATCGAAACAGAAAGCAGGGGCACCTGGGCGGCTCGGTTGGTTAAGTGTCTGCCTTTGGCTCATGTCATGATCCCAGGGTCCAGGGACTGAATCCCATGTCGGGTTCTCTGCTCAGTGGGGAGTCTGCTTCTCTCTCTGTCCCCCCGTATACCCGCCACTCTCTTTCTCTCTCTCTCTCTCAAATCAATAAATATTTTTTTAAATTAAAAACAAAACAGAAAGCGGAGCAGTGGTTGTGTTTACACCATGGCTGTGTTTTAACTGAAATGAGGCTGGTCCACACAACTCTTCGGAAAGAGAGCTGATGCACAGAGGAAGATCTACACCTGTGCGTGCCATGCGTGGGGCTCTTGACTCCAGCTCACAGCCCACCTCCTTAAAATGCTTCACATGCCACCACAACTGGAAGAACACTCTGGTTCTGGTCTCCTGCAGCATATGAGGAAAAGAACCCTCAGGCCGTCTGTGTATTCGTTTGCTGGAGCTGCATAACAAAATACCACAGACTGGGCAGCCAAACAGCAGTGCTGGAGGCTGGAAATCCAAGGTCAAGGTGCCAGCAGATTTCCTTTCTGGTGAGGCCTCTCTCCTTGGCTTGCAGATGGCGCCTGCTCACTGTGTCCTCACAGGGCCTTTTCTCTGAGTACATTTATTCTTGGTGTCTCTTCCTCTTCTGAAAGAATATCAGTCAGATTGGATTGGGCCCTCTCGGACAGCCTCGTTTCACCTCACTCACTCTCTGAAGACTGTATCTTTACAGTCATTACTGTATATATTACATTCAGAGATACTCGGGGTTGGGACTTCAATACATACATTTTGGAGGGAAACAATTCAGCCCTTTTCATTCATCTTAGGATATTAGTAGGTACCCAACTAGGTGTCTGTCCTCCTCAACTTGATGGTGGCCTCCCTGGATGAAAGGCCCTGTTTTAAGATTCTGTGTCTCCCCAGCAATCAATTGTTTAATGGATCTTCTAATTTTAATCCAAAATTAGAATTTTGTTCACATTGGTCCTGCTGCCAATATGTATTTTGAAGGAGAAAAAAAATCAGCCACAGTGGGTTCATGTCAGTGACTAGGCTAGACGATTTCCCAGGTTCCTTATGCATCCCGTTACTGTTCATTCCCCGTCACCATCCATGTGGCTTCCCAAAAAATTCTCCTCTCTAGGGTATCAGACCTTTGCTTCATTTCTCATTTTTAGGCTCCCAAGAGTTGCCAGTCCTAATTTTTTTTTTTTAATTCCCTATGTACTGCTTATTTTCATGCCTGCATCTGGCAGCGCCTGAGGTCCTAGCCTGACTTAGGATCTGGAACAGGCTCAGGGCAGTGCATTGGGCTGCCCGAAGTTGTCCGGTACCATCCTGACCCCGAGAAGACTCCAACCAAGTTTTTCCAGCTCCAAGGCCAACAGCCTAATATTCCTCATTATGCAAAGTAAGAACACCAAAGGCTTTATGTCTTGTGGGCAGTAATTCATGTAATGAAGTGAGATCATCATCTCTCTTAGGAATTCTGATGAACCTTATAACAGTATAACTTTTAGTACCAAAGGATCCAGCATGCTCCTTTTGTCGATTCATAAAGTGCTCAAATGCTCAAACCGTATGTTTAAGTACAATTCCCAATGGATATATTACTCCTTAAATGAAAACGGGAATTTTTCAACATCAGGTGGAAAACTCAGCATGGCCATTGGGAGGAATTGTCTCAACGTAGCCCCGAGTCAGTTCCAGGGCAGTGGAGACGAAACCAGCTTTGTGGCCTGGTGCTCCCGGCCCCCAAGCTTGCTCTGGGCCATATGCTCACTCAGTAGGTACGAGACAAACCCAAAGACACACGTGCCTGAACGTGAGCCTTGTTAGACACGTTCTGTGTACCATACTGTTTCCATGGGGTGCCTGGGTGGCACAGTGTCTTAGGCATCCAACTCTTGGTTTCAGCCCAGGTAGTGATCTCAGGGTCATGAGATCGAGTCCCATGTGGGGCTCTGCGCTCAGTATGGAGTCTGCTTGAGACTCTCTGTCCTTCTCCCTCTGCACCTCCCACTCGTGCTCTCTCCCTCTCTCAAATAAATAAATAAATCTTTTAAAAAAATATTGCTTCTATAAAAGTGGGAAAGTTGACATAAGTAAGGCTTTCAAATACTACTTCTTACCACCTAAAAATATTCAGGCAGAACATGTATGGAGCTCAGGCTAGCCTTGGTTTTACAGTGAAGGTGAGCTCTTTGCCAGACACTCATGGGCTCTGCCTGTCCCATCACGGAAAGGGCTCTCTGTCACGAGTAGAAAAGTGAAAAAAACCCTAGTCTGAGAAGAAGGTATGTCCCCGCGTGACTGGCATTTTGTGCCAATCATTCGTTGTGCCAGTATCAGGAGTGTGGGTCTGACAAACAAAAGGCCAGGCCACCGGCTTGGTTTCACTGTGCAGACTGTCACAGTCCCCTTTTCCTCACTGGAGCCTGGCTCTCTAAAATGGATTTTGTTCATTCTCCACTGGCTTGGAGAAAACTGCACGTGGCTCTTTATGAATTGGGTCTCCCAGCAAGACACTGTGAGACAACCGGAGTGGGGGTGGTCTGCGTGTGTGAAACTCCCAGGACAGAACTGGAGTCAGGCTGTGACACACAATGCCATCTATGTGTGACCCAGCAGCCTGCGAACCAGCTCCCTGCAAGGGCAGAAGCATGCCAAGTGGGGACGAGAGGACTTTTGTTCATTCTCTTTATCTTACTGAGGCTGGTTGTTTGTCTGTTGGGGGAAATTAAAAAACAAGCAAATAAATTCCTTGCCTGGGTGCTGTCTGGATTTTTTTTACTCCCCATACTTTCATTCCTAATTCTCCAAAGTATCTTCCCCCCTTAATTTTATGGCATTTTTATGTACAGATGCATCCACTACCTACGCTTGAAGTCAGAAGTATCAATTTGTCTTTCTAGACTCCTTCGGGTTTGCCTCGGTGTGGAGATTCATAATGAGATCCAAGAGTTCTCCTCCTCTTCCCGTTAACATAATTTATAGAGTTTTCCTTATGCTCGGAGCACGTAGCTAAGTCCTGCATAAGCAGCACTAACAGCGCATTCTTAACAGCCTCCCTGGACAGTTTAATAAATTCTTTCTGAAAGCCTCTTGCTGGCCTTAACAAAGGTTAACTAGAAAACAAACCAGAGGCTGGGAATCCCACTGTGAGAGCAGAAAATACGGTTCTATCTCACAGATAGAGGACTGAGTTTGTGCAATCACATTTGGCGTTCTGGAAATCCCTGATGAAGATCATTTTTAGGAAAAATCAGCTTCCCAAACCCAAGCGTGCTCTGGGGTTGGCTAGGGTTTTGTTTGTTTTGTTTTAAAAGATACTAAAAGTTAAAGATGGGAATCCAAACCACAAAACATTTTTTTTTTCTTCTCCATGTCATTTTACTTGGCCCAAGAAAGCAAAAGAGGGACAAGTGGCATTGCTCAGTAATTCTTCAGGGAATGACCTACACATTTTCTCCACACAATCCAGGAATCCTGTGCGTAATTTTCATCATTGGGCACATTGATAAACAAGCCAAAACACCTCCAGGATGACAGATGACTGCAGAGCAAAGGGACAGAAGGAATTTGGTACCAACACATGAAGACCTGTTGACTTTTTAGCTTGAACTTAGAAAGTACAGAGTTAACTAGGATTTTTATTTGTGAAACAAATAACTACTTCTAAAATCATCTATTTATGTCACATGTTCTCCACACCAAAACAGGTCCTTGGGATAACTTTTGGAGAACAACACAACTGTGAAAAAAAAAAAAGTCTCAGCCAAGAACTTGGGCATCCCAAAGGGCTAGGGAAACCTGAACATTTAAATCAGACTTCGATGCCAGGAGCTCACTGTTCCCTGTTGGGCTCTGGCCACCACCCCCACCCCACCCAGAAGAGGACACAGTACTCACCAGTCATTAGGGTGTAGTAATTGGGGTAAGACAGACTAGGAAAGTCGGGGGTCAAGTAATCCACTTTTACTCCCCGGCTCACAATCTCTTTGAAACCAGGCAAGGACTCCAGGGCCTCATCACTGATGTAGTCAGAGCGAAAACCATCCAGCAGAAACACCAGGAGCTTCCGGCCAGCCGCGGCTGGCTGCGCCAGGCTGAGTGCAAGGACCAGCAGGAGGGCCCTGAGCTTCACAGCCATGCTGCCAGGAGCCTGCCCGCCCTTTCGGCTGGCACAGCCGTCCCCTTGCAAAGACTGAGGATGGAGAATGTGTAGCTATTCTCTCTTCCAGGGGCTGGACCTTGACTGCTGGCCTTCCTGAGCCAAGTTCACTTTCAGAATTTAAAGGTACAGCACCCCCTTTTAAAAACATCTATGCTCACCCTTTACTAGAAAGTCTGGAGACCAACTCCTTCAGAGAAGCCAGGTCCCCAAACAACCCAGAATCAACACCAGGGAAGACAGGGTGACCTTATTATTTTGGGTGAGCGTTCCAGAAATACAGGCACTCACAGAGAGGTAGAAATTTAGAAGATGACGGAGGTCTACGCTAACTTTGCAGTTGGGCTAACCAACGGGTGGAGTCAAGAAAAGGACAATCTTTTAATTTGCTGCCATCCTGCGTCTCTGCCCAATTTGAACTCTCTGACTTTTTCGCTTACAATTTAGTAACACAAACTTCTTCATTCAGAATATAAACATGAGATGATAAAAATAGGTGAGCACCATTTGTGAACTTTGCACTGGTGTCTCCGTCACCATCACATTTTAAAAACATATTGTCTAGGTCTCAGCCACTTTTTTTTTTTTTTCTATGCAGCTGTATACAGTGTTTATTGTCCTATTTTTCAAGTTGCTGGTGTCCGAACTCATCTGCAGGAGGAGGTGGTTTTCACCATTTGGGGAAGCGGGGGGCCTGGACTCACTTGGGGAAAGGTCTCTGAATTTTAAGGATGAGTATACACTGGGGTATCCACTTTCCTCTGCCGCTATCGGGGGGCACAACCCAAAATGCAGCTCCCTGAGAATCCACAGGTCCTCAGACGCTCTCAAGCCTCCACTGATAGTGATTGTGACATATCTGGGGAGGGCACTGCTGATAAGGCTTATCTTATTTTACATGATCTTACTGTTTTATGATCACATTTAGACAACTTCTCTAAAGTTTTGGGTCAATAAGTTATTGCAAATAAGCCCCTTTGGTATACATACCAACACACAAGAAAAGAAAGAAACATATGGAATAGAATTCAAAACAAATCCCAGCATTGCCTACAGTAAGATTCCCCCTAATCTTTTACCTTCTGGTCTGGAAAAGGTTGGAAATAAAAGCTGAAAGGCAGTAGGTCAGAGAATGTGGTTAATATTAACTGCCCAAAGTCTTACAATCCAAAGTGTGTGTTTGTTCTCTGGAGGATCTTGTTTGGATGTGGTTACCAACACCTAAGACTTAAGAATGAGTACTTCCTGCTACTTGTTTTTCAAAGGTAGACAATGCTACAAGGTCATTTGTCACAGTAGTTTAACCCGGACAATGCAGAAAAGTGGAAAATTTCCTCCCAAATCTGGAACCATCTTTGTGTTGAAAGTTGTTCTGTTCCAGGTCTTGCTAGTGACATGCATGAGCTCTCCAGAGTGCGCTACCCAGATCTGTCAGCACTTTTTAGCCTTGCCTCCATGGAAAGGAAGGTGACATGGCAGAAAAGAAATCAAGGCTTGTAGAAAGAAGACAGGATTCCATGGCCTGGCTTCTGGCATTATGCAATTGAGTGATTCTGAGAAGTTGCCTTTCCATGCTTCAGTGCTCTCCTCTGAAAAGCGATAGAAGCTTTCTGGTCTTTTCCAGCTAAGGACCTGAATAGACATTTTTCCAAAGAAGACATCCAGATGGCCAACAGGCACATAAAAAGATGCTCGGTGTTGCTCATCATCAGGGAAATGCAAATCAAAACCACAGTGAGCTATCAACTCAGACCTCTCAGAATGGCTAGCCTCAGAAAGATGAAAAATAACAAGTGTTGGTGACGATATGGAGAAGGAAATAAAATCCCTACCCTAAAGAGCTAGCTGCACCCCCATGTTTACTGTAGTATTATTCACAATAACAATAAATGGAAACAACCTAAATGTCCATCGATGAGTGAAACCAGAAAGAAGACAGGGTATATATACATATACAATAGGATATTATTTAGCCACGAGAAAGAAGGAAATCCTTCCATTTTCAATGATATGGATGGACCCAGAAGGCATTTTGCTAAGCAAAACAAGTTAGACAGAGAAAGATAACTCTATGTTCTCACTTGTGTGTGGAATCTAAAAAAAAAAAAAAATCATAGAAACAGAGTAGAATGGTGGTTGGTTGCTAGGGGCTGTGGGGTGGGGGAAATGGGGAGATGTTGAGTACAAACTCCCAGTTACGAGATGAGTAAGTTCTAGGATCTAACAACATACAGTATGATGACCACAATTAATGATATCCTTGAAAGTTGTTGAGAGAGTAGATCTTCAATGTTATACCACACACACAAAAGCCCGAACAGTGATTATGTAAGGTGATGGGGGTATTACTAGCCTTACTGGGGTAATCATCTCCTAATACATATGTGCATAATGAATCAAAGCGAGCGAGTGGGTGAGCACTCGGGCAAGTATGAGAGTGAACGGTAGAAAGGAGTCCAAGGTAGTATTAAGAGAAAGTCCATACAATAATCATTCTATTTGTTCCCGCCAGAAAAGTAGTCCTTGTGCACTTTTTAAATGAAAAAGGTCTCCCAAGAACAGACTCTCTCTTTAAAAGGCAGCTGACTAAGCAGGTTCATACGAATATGAAGTGGAGTATCTAGAAATCATTAGCCTCACTCGTCCGCCATCTCAGGCGTTTCCAGGTCAGAGGCAGGGATCCTTTCTTTCCAGCCATCAGCAGCCCCCGTTCGCCTTTGGACCTGGCTCCAGACTCACACGTACTGTGGTGGAACCCCCCGGGGCTCACCTGTCCAGAGTACAGGTAAGGGCTGAACCCACCCCACCATGATCCCAGCCAGGAAGACTGAGCCAATGTGGCTTTTCAAGTTCCTCATTTGATTCTGGTCAAAGCCCCGCTCAGGAAACACCGTGGACAGTGCCACACAGTAGCGGACAAAGCTGAGCACGGTCACATCATTGTCCCAGTTTTCGTGTTAGCAAATAGTTTCTGGAGGCCATGGGGGTGGGGGGCTTCATTTGGACCTTCTGATAACTTTATAAGGTGGGTATTTGGGGGTTTTTTTTTAATTTAATTTTTTGTCAGTATTCCAAAATTCATTGTTTATGCACCACACCCACTGCTTCATGCAATCTGTGCCTTCTGTAATACCCACTACCAGGCTCACCCAACCCCGCACTCCCTCTCCCCTCCAAAACCCTCAAGTTTGTTTCTCAGAGTCCACAGTCTCTCATGGTTCGTCTCCCCCTCTGATTTCCCCCAATTTACTTCTCCTCTCCAACTCCCAAATGTCCTCTGTGTTATTCCTTATGCTCCACACGTAAGTGAAACCATATAATTTACTCTCTGCTTGACTTATTTCACTCAGCATCATCTCTTCCAGTCCCATCCAGGTTGATACAAAAGTTGGGTATTCATCCTTTCTGATGGAGGCATCATACTCCATTGTATATATGGACCACATCTTCTTTATCATTTGTCTGTTGAAGGGCATCTTGGTTCTTTCCATGTACCTCTGTGAGACAAAGGAAATGCAAGGCTCGGGGAAGCCTAATGCCAAAGAGCCTGAAACAACAGAATGGAAATTCAAGTCCAGGTCTCTTTAGAGACCCATGTCTGGGGGGAAAACATTCAATTTTTGAAATTAGGAAGAGGAATCAAAGCCTGAGCAAAAGAAAAAAATAATAAATCCCCTAAGTATCTTTCATTTATCTTGATTGAAGTGAGGGAGGAAATAGAAATGACCATTAGGACACTACAGACATGACTGTCACGGGCAACATCCACTGACGAATGCCAGACTCCTTGGAAGAAAGTCAGGAAGTGATCAGAAGAGAAGAAAAGGATGGGGTGTGTCAAAGAGGCGTGGGAGCCAAACTGAAAGGGCTCCCAGTGGCCAAAGCCAGAACAATCTGCGTCATAAACTAAGCAATGCAATATTGGAATATTAATCCAGAGTACAAAGGAAATATACAAGTCCATAATGTAAAATGAATTGCTGAGTAAACAAATAAATAGGGGAGAAGTAACAAATATTTCTTTCAAAAGAATTCCAAAGAATACATGCTGATACCCTCACTCCAGGAGTTGGAACTTGATCCCTACTCCCTTGCCATCAAGGTTGGGCCAGACCTAGAGACCAATTTTCAAAGAACCGAATAGAGAAAGGAACAAGTAACTTTGCAGGGGAGAAATATGGCAAACACAACATTACAGGTGATGGAGGTTAGTATCACCAATGATGTCACATGGACATCATGTACCCCCGTCATCTCATAAGATGGGACAGGCACTTGGCTCTGCAAGGTGTTCTTTCCAAAAATCCATAACCCCAACCTAATCGTGAGCAAAACACCAGACAAAACCAGACTGGGGTATTTTCTACAGAATAACTATCAAGTACTCCTTAAGAATATCAAGGTCATGGGGCACTTGGGTGGCTCAGTGGGTTAAAGCCTCTGCCTTCAGCTCAGGTCATGTTCCCAGAGTCCTGGGATCGAGCCCCGCATCCGGCTCTCTCCTCAGCGGGGAGCCTGCTTCCTCCTTTCTCTCTCTCTGCCTGCCTCTCTGCTTACTTGTCATCTATGTCAAATAAATAAATAAAATCTTAAAAAAAAAAAAAGAATATCAAGGTCATGAAAAACAAGGGAAGACCAAGACATGGGTCACAAACCAGAGGCAGTTGAGGCAACATGACAACCAATTGCAATAGGACCCAGGACCCTGGATGGGATCCGTGAACAGAAGGAGACAGGAAGGGAAAACTGGTACATGCAGATAAAGTCGTCCACTTAATGGTTCTGGACCAGCGTTAGCTTTGATAACTGTACTCTGGAGACACACAATGCTAACCTCAGGCAAAGGTAGGGGAAGGGCTTATGGGAACACTCTGCCTTGTTTGTGCAACTTTTCAGTAAGTCTAAAATTTTTTCAAAATGAAAAGTTAAAAAAAATTAAATTGAAACTAGAAGCCTGGTCATCAGTAACAGGCATCTTGGGAAGATAAAAGCGCTTTTGAGAAAAACAAAGCA